TTAAACACTAATTGCGAACAATTTTAATAAAATTGATATCTTCAGTTTTGCTAGTAATTATCTGCACACTAAATAAAAATGCGTCGGCTGTATGTGCCGTGAATTTTTGTGTTGTGCTCTCTATTACAAAAATGTATCGTAAATTTTTGTGTCACACTGTTAATTAAAAAAATGTGTCGTATATTTTTCTCGTTCTGTCAGTCGACTAGTCGTTCACCGTTTTGTTATGAACATACACTCCAGTTAACATTCCTGATAATGCCACAGAATAATTTATATAGAGTTTAATAAAAGATATTCTAGAAGTAAGAAATGTGCGATTTTCTAAATAGGAAATGTTCTACTTAGATTTAAGAGAACGGAAAACATTCTAATAAAATATTTTGATCATAGAAAAAGACAAAATACGATAAGCAAGTTTAAAGATAAAAACACTACGTAATAGTCGACAGATGAAATATCGGTTTCTAATATTCTTGTGAGTCGTATATTATGTGTGCCTGTGGATACAAAATTGGCAAGTACATTTAACAAATAATTTAAATATTTTCACAAAGGTTCATAACGAAATATTCGTTCTTATTATGGTCGTTTAATATTAGACGTTCAACAAACATCACTCTTATATAATTTAGTTGAATATAGACTCTAGATATTTTTTAATCTGTTTTTGAATAATTTTCTCAAAAGAAAATTTGAGTTTATCACTTGAAACTCCGATGAGTAACGCAGTGGCGGACCCAGGAATTTTGAGAGGAGGCGGCGCGTTCTAAATGACATAATTGTATACAATAAAAACATTTTCGAAAATATTTAATTATAGTTCATAATATGCCTATAATTTTATCCAAACAAAACAACTATTCTAGAAATAAATTTGCATAATAAATCTAAATAGCTAATCGACGATTGAATTTATAGAGAAATCATCGATTATACTCTCAACATTTACATGCATATCTCTCGACAAATATACACCAAAGTTAAATCATTAAGACATGTTTCAGAGATTGTCGAGCGTAAATATGTTTTAAGTAATTTAAGAACTGAAAAAGTTTTTTTCTGTTGTTGCTGTAGTTATTGGTAGAGTTGTAAAGATTTTCATGTTTCAATAAAACGCTTCAGGACAAGCAGCGTAAGCATCAATTGATCTATCTTTAGTAGCTACTAAAAAATGATGTGTTTGAGGTTGAGTGCTATTATTTGAACCTATTTTTTCTTAAAAAATTTAGTAATGTGACGATATCCTTTTCTTCTCTCCATATAAACGTGTATTGGATATATCAATTTTTTGTTTAGAGAAAATACTTAAAATCTCTGTTACATAATTAGACTGTGATTCTGCAACTGAGATTTTTTTGTTTCATTTTGAGTATTATAAACTTGTTGGTTGTATCTTGAATTGAAGCATCTTCGAATAAAGCCATGATGAATTATAATACTTGTTATAACCAACCAATTCCATTTTTATAATTATTTCTATTGCTTTTCGTAGAAATTTGATTGCGAAGTTAATTTTCTTATTGAAAGGCATTATAGTTTTTTTTGAATAGAAGAGTTGCAGAAATATCATTTCGGGTAGCATTAAAAAAAAGCCAAAAATGAAACTGAAAATCGATTTATATTCTTTAATCTACTTACTATTCAGACCGATGGCAGTCAATCATATTTTTCGATTTCCTTCGGTTATTCGTTTTATTTTCGGTATTTTATTCTTGACGTGTCGAAAATAGATATCCAATAGTGTTGTTCAGGACATCAAAAATTGCACGCTTTTTAATGTCTACATGTGTTAACACAAGACAATAATGTAATTATATGTTCCTACAAAAGATAGAATTTAAATACGCTTAACAGACAGAGAGAACTATATGCTATGTGTGTGATTTATATTGTAATTCTGTCGAAGAATTCTTTTAATATAACTTTTTCATTCATTTTTATCGAGTTTTTTCCTTATACTTATTACTGTCACATAAGAGACAATTTTATTTCTATAGAATAGTGTTTCAATATATAGAAAAAACTTATTCTGAGGAATTTCTAAAAAGGAATGATCTATTCAAAGAATTTTACTCGAAACGTTCGAAATTATTTCATATACTCGCTATACTGGAGAGAGAAAGAGTAGTTCTTTTCTAATAATACTATCCCTTCAACGCGATAGAAAAAGGGAGAGAGATATCTTTTTATTCTTAGTTTTTCTTTTCTAGTTAATATTCCTGCTAATGCTAAATGGTCACAGAACGGAGTGACTGTTGCTGGGGGTAATGGGGCTGGGGTTGCCACTAATCAACTCTACTGGCCTTGGTCCCTTTCCGTTGATGATGATCAAACAATGTTTATTTCTGAGCACGGGAATAGTCGTATCATGGAATGGAAGAGTGGTGCGACGAATGGACAAGTTGTTACTAGTGGTACAAGCACAATAAACACATTAAATACAATCGACGTACCAAGTGATATATTAATTGACAAAGAGACGGATAGTCTCATTATTTGTGATAAGGGGAATTTCAGAGTTGTACAATGGTCTCGTCGTAGCGGCACAACAGAAGGTAAATTACTC